TGGGCTGGGTGGTGACAGGGGGGGAGAGAGGGAGGGAGGGAGGGAGGCAGGTCACACCCCTCGCCCTCCTGGGAGCTCAGCGGCCAGACAGGTCCCTGGGCCTGAGGAGGGGCTGTCTAGAAAGGGCACAAAGGCCGTCTGTACCCCGGAGAAGAGGTAGGCATCTCATTCTCCGCTCCACCCTGTCTCCCAGGGATGGAGCAGGGGTCCCTGGTGTGTGGACTTTGAGCCCGTTCCTTGCTGCAATGGAACTGCCCACCCAATGCCAGGGCTCCCTGAGGACCCACCTGCCTGCAGGGATGAGGGGGCGTCTGGGGGCAGCTGGGGTGCTGGGCTGTCCATGGATAGGAAGTCCAGTGCTCCCCTTGTCAGGGAGGGGCGGGTGCACCAATGGGGTTTTGTCCACTAAGGAGCCACCTACTCTCCCTCTTCCTGGCTCCTTGTGGGTCTGGATGTCAGAGTTGGAAGGATCTTGCCTCGGATCGGACCCTACATGGGCCCTCAGATGGGCAGGGGGCGGTGCACCCCCTTTTCCAATGTCTGAGCCCGGGAAACCAAGGCTCAGCCGGGGCTCAACATCCCAGGGCCACACAGTGCATGACGGATGCCTGCCCAAAGTCAGGTCTGAGCTTCCCAGCCCACAGCGCTTTCCACTCCCCCAAGCAATCTCCAGCCAGGTCCCGCTGGCCCCTGAAGCCGAGCCAAGTACCCCAGTGGAGTGGGGGGTCCGGGCGGGGGCAGGGGGCCGTCCCCCACCCCTCTCCCCACTCCGTTTCCTGAGGCTTCCTCGGCCTGAATGTGGATTGAGGCCAGTGGAAGAGTTTTCCTGGGGAAATAAAACAACTGGGCGGTCAGCCAGGGGGGTGACTGAATGAAATGGGAATGTTCCCGGGAATTGTATGTTTTTATTTGCTAAATCTGGCCACCCTCGCTGGAGGCAGAAAGGAGAAAGGACTGTGGATTGGGAGGCCGGCGGGAGGGAGCCCCAGGCTTTGTCATGCAGAAGAAGGGGCGGCTCCCCACTCACCCACCCACCCACTCCCTCCACTTCCCACCCCCCACCACGCCTCCACCCCCAACCTGTGTCTAGCCCAACTCGCCCAGGTCTGGTGGCTGGAGGTGGTCCATTGGCCCTGGAATCAGATCCTCCATCCTGAGGGAGGAAAGGGAGGCAAAGTCATGGGGGGCCCTAGTTGAGGACCAATTTGGACCTGGCCCTGAGCCCAGAGCTGAGGGGTCCGTGGAGGGCGGTGGGCCGGTCAGCCTGGGGGACACTCTGCCTACAGGTGAGGAGAGCGCCGTGTCCACCATTGCCCTCCTGCTCCTAACAGGCCGGGATGTGACCCCAACCAGAGTCCAGGCTGCCAGGGGAGGGCCATGAGGGAAGGTGGGGGTCAGAGGTCACCCTGCAGACTCCATGGGGGGTGGGGGGACAAATAGGACCAGAGCCCGGGTTCAGATCAAAGGGAACTGTGAGGTCTGGGTTAGAGCCCAGCATCTGGGTGTCCCCAGCGTGGCAGCCAGGGGCAGACACCCCTGTGGGTGCTGCAGAGATGCCCCCAGACCCAGCCTTCACCCATCAGCCTCCCTGACCCCAGGCCTGAGGTCCCTGGTTGCACCTTAGAGTCTCCCAACATAATCCTGGGGGGGCCTCCCTGATCGCCCAGAGCAGTCTGGTCTCACAACCACGGGGCCAGCCCTCGCCTGGGCCCCCGGAGCCCGAGAGGGTGGGGGACAGGGACCCTTGTTTCAGTTCCTCCATCCCCTTCTGGGCAAGAGTGAGTCCGCTGTGTAGCCTGGGATGAGTGTGCCACCATCTCAAATGGGGATAAGGTGCTTTCTGTACCAGGAACTTGTCGGTAGTCATGGCGACAGTCGGCACAGCCCTCTGACACACAGTAGGTGCTCTAGAAAGAGGAGTCTCACACATGGATAGTAACTTTGACAATGTTTCACCTTTTAAATTCTGAGTGAACGGCGCTTCTTAATTTTTCTTATAATTAGGACACAAGTCAAAAGGTACGAAAGGGTGTCCTTGAGGAATGTCACCGCCCGTTCCCCCTCGAGTGTCCGCGCTTTTCAGAGACACACGGAAGTATTTTTCCCACCCCGCGAGTCTTACTAATCTAGCAACACGCTCTGTACCCTGTGTTCGAAATTACAATTTTAATGCTTCATTATAACTTTATTTTTAAATGACACAGGGAAAGGTCTCTCCCTGCCCTGGCTGGGTGGCTCAGTTGGTTGGGGCACCGAAAGGTGTGGGTATAATTCCCCATCAGGGCACATACCTAAGATGCAGGTTCAATCCCCAGGTAAACAGGAGGCAACCAGTCAATGTTTCCCTCTCTCTCTCAAATCAATTTTAAAAAACATATCCTCGGGTGAGGATTTTTTTTAACAAAAGAATTTTAAGTGAAAAGAAAGTAAGAAAAATACCCAC